GAGCTTTGTGACGTCATATTTGAGGGGGGGGGGTCTGACTTTTTGTGACGCCGTGTGACGAGGGGGGGGGGGGGGTCAAAAATCGTCAAAAATCGCGTGACGTCATTTATGGACGGCCCCTTTACCGAAAGAACCAAAACATTTTTTTTTTCGATTATTTACCTTCGAAAAACATCTAGCCACGTGTCGCACCCCCCACTGCCCTAGAAAGAAATGTACTTCTGTCTCGGGCAGTTTGCATAGAATCTACAGTTCGCATCCCACCAAGACAAAGTGATGCTATGGGTCATTACTGAGGCTCATCATTAGTGGTGAAGTTCACATTGAAACAGCGTTAACGTTGCGTCCTACAACCAAGTCACCTGGAATGTGCCCGATCTTGTCGGATATCCGAAGCTAAGCATGTCTGAGCCTGGATAATGGTTCGATGGGTGACCATGCAAACAAAGCTACGTGGTGGGTGAGCATAGGACAGTGCAACAGCAAAACATTCTTGTTGTCCTGTACTTATATGCTCCCTGTATTCATCCTGCACTTGCCAGCGTGAAGTATGGTGAAATAACTCCCATGGTATGGAGGGATGCCCCATGTTGTATCTATGCCCTGTTTTCCGTTATTAATATTAAGAATAATTAAGAATTTTTTTTTTTAATATCTACCTTTTTTAAAAAATTAAATAATGAAAACAACTCACGGGCACACCGGGAGTCCATGAGACATGGAGGGCGGTTGAAATGATAGGAATTCGGTCACAAAAAGGTCATAGACATCCAGACGGACAAAAAGATGTATGGACTAAACCTCCCGAGACATCTGGAGATGTACAGATAAGGTGCAGAGTGAATGACGGTTGAAGCTTCGCGTTTTCTTGGCGTTTTCCTCACCGAAAAGTAGAAACTTAACAAAGATAATTAACCAACAAACAATAATATTTTTACTATTATTATATGTTTCCTACCTACACGACCTTCCAAAAAAGCTAAAGAGTGCGAATTCCAGAGGGCTTAAAAAAATAACTCGGAATAAACACCAATCTCTGGAGAACTAAACTGGGCGAAGCCCCAAGGTAATAATGTGACGAGGAGCATTACGAATATTCATTAAACATAGACGAATGATAACCACGATACTAAGACCGAAGGAACTCATAAAATATAATTCAAGAATAAATGTAACACACAGGACCACATAAATGTATTGCAAACATCTCCTCGACCACCTTTGTCTTCCAGCGGGGTCTGACCTCAGAATGACCCACCCAGGGTAAGCAAGGAGGGAGCAAAAAGGTCACAAAGGGGGGGGTTTGTGCTGACATTGGTTGTTTTCTCTCGCAAGAGACGCGGAGAGAGGAGTGGGTGCTCGCGTGTTTGAGTTAAGCACGGCCGCCTTTGTCTCCCCGCAGCACAAACAGATGGCCCAGGAATGCTTGGAGGGTTAGGAAAAGGTCGCGAGGAGGGATCGCGCCGGTGTCTGCTTCTTCTCGCTCTGTTTGTGTTTTTTTTGTTGCCCGCTCGCAAGGAATGCAGAGAGAAGGGAGTCACGTTGAGTTAGGCACGGACAGGCACACAGCGAACGAGCAGTCTGGGTTGAGTCGTGCTCAGTCTCGCAACTCGGCGTGCGACGCGGTGTTGCGACGGGGCTCGCAAGAGAGCGGAGGCGCGTCGTGCCTCGAGGAGAGATGGAACGACGAGACATCGTTAAAGTGACAGTCTGAGAGCAGTCTGTTCGAGTCGCGCTCAGTCTCGCAACTCGGCTTGCGACGCAGCGTTGCGACGGGGGCTCGCAAGAGAGCTGGGGCGGTTGTGCCTCGAGAAGTGATGGAACGAGGAGGAGTCGTTCGAGTCGCAGAAATATGAGTTCAACCTGGGTCGGGGCTGGGTTTCAGCCGTGCTCCGGCCGGTGGAGCGTCGTGAGGACACGAAACACCGATGCCGATAGCCGGAGTCGCTTCTCGCAGAACGAAGTTAAGTGCGAGTGAAGCCAACAAAGACGCCAACGTCCACCCTGCCACGAACGAAGCATCGCTCCTCGTCAGAGTGACGACCAGCGAACAACCCGCAGGAAAGGCGGAGTTCGCCAAGCGAGCAAAGCAGAGAGTCAAAGTCTTCCGAACGAGCGACAACGAGCGCCACAGAGCAGCACGACTCGGACGTCACCGAGCGTCGTGCCAACTCGTCATCCAGCAGTGGAGAGAGAAAGAGCGCAAGAGCAGCACGACTCGGACGTCACCGGGCGTCACCGAGCGTCGTGCCAACTCGTCATCCAGCAGTGGAGAAAAGAGAGCGCACAAGCAGAGACGCGCCGAGCGAGGGAGCAGCACGACTCGATGCGGCCACGCCCCACCCAGAGAAAGCTGGCCGCTGTTTGTATCCTCCTACACCACACAAGCTAACGACACAATTAATATTACGAGGGGACAACGCACACACAGCACGCACACGAATAAGACTTTCAAAAAGTGATCTTTGCATTTCAAAAAGGGTTGCCATTTCGAGGTGGTGCGTTCAATATCAACTGATCGTGCAAAGCAGTTGCTGCCGTCGAGTTACATGAATAAAAAATGTTTATTCATTCATATTAGGTAATCGCATAATATCGTAAATGCATAAGTGTTTATTCATTCATTTTAGTCAAATGCATAGTCTCGCAAATGCAAAAGGGTTTATTCATTCATTTTAGTCAAATGCATAATCTCGTAATTGCATAAGAATTTTAGTTATTCATATTAATCGAATGCATAATATCGCAAATGCATAAGAGTTTGGTTATTCATGAATTATTGACGCATGTTTGACCTGCATGATAGAATATCACATGCTTGTTAGAATAAATTGCTTAACACCAACTGTTCGAGTGCTTCTTTCCAAGTCCATGCAAAACTATCTTATTCATAAGAGCTGTTGCCTGTGATGAGATCTGAAACTGGTGACCTAAAATATCATAACACACACTAAGATAATCGGTAAACGTTTAATCGATGATAATCGTGTTATCCTGATTGAGATAACTCTGGATAAACGAAGCTGAGCCTAATTATCACAACTGCTCACATTAACATAATCGCAAGCACCCGCATAAATTACTACGATTATCTCTACGATTATCATAATTTATGCATATAATTACACACATTATCATAATTTATGCATGTTGATACACACACTATCATAATTAATGCGATTTGCGCATTTTTCGGAAAATTATTAATTTTTATTATTTTCATCAAATTTCATAATCCCAACACATACAACACCCATCCAGCAGTGGATTGACAATGTCCGTACAAATATCACGTCTGCCCCTTTCCGCTTTGAAAATTACCATCAACTCCAATGCGGGAAATGTAATCTGGCATAATAATACTTCACCGAGCAGCGTTATGAGACCACCCTTGCATATTGTCATGGGGTTTTCACGGAGTTCTAAATAAAGAATTTGGGCGAGAGTCACGCAGCTATTAATAACATGGAATAGGGCTCTGCTTTTGGCATAATGGGGCCACGCACAGATGTAAATATTTTAATTTGGGCTTGAGTTCACCAGGAGGCACGGTGCAGAGCACCCTGTGAAAATGCTAACAACCCCAACGGGAACTTCATCGCCCACCCCAACAAAAGAACATCCCCCATTTCAACTCACCCCACCAACTGCACTGAGCGACATCAGAACATCGCACGGCAGATGTGGCCATCTCCCACTCCACCCGTGGCCAATGAGGACTATAGCCCACAGTGCGACGGCGGTGTTGGGGTGGTCAACGCCACGCACGCCCCGTGCTGGGCTGCTCATCGTCTTCGCGGTTCGGGAAAAAAAAATTAACCCGTAAAAACAAAGTTTTTCACTATAAATCCTTTATATGCGTGGTGGCTCGAGTCCTCTCGTCCTCTGGCTTGAGATGGCTGCCACCTATGGGTCAGATGATTGCCTGCCACCATTAAGCAATTGGTAATTAAATATAAAAAAATATTCCTAAAAGTGTAAAAATTTGTAAAAAAAAATTCACGAAAATTAATTGTCACGCACAACGAGTCTGTGTGCAAAATGTCAGCTCGATTGGATCACGGGAAGTGGGTTAGAAAACGACCGAAAGATTTGCAGTCGTAAGCGCGCAAGCAAGCAAGCAAGTGAACTTAATATAAAGGATTTAAAAACAGATACCACGCACTACACCACTTTGCAAATCCATTACATCTCACCAAAAGTTTCAATAGGCTCTCGTTCATTTATTGGCGAGCACGAATTTGGACATTCAAACAATGCGGAGACCACGTTTCTTTGTCAAGTTTTATTTTTAACGTTTTATTCAGTAAGTTTGTTAATTTTGAAAACTACCTTTTCAAATAGCGATTTTTTTTAATTTCCTAATTCTGTACACAATTTGGGATCTCCGTGTTTTACTCTTGCAAGAGGCTTCTGTGGCCCCATTCACATTATATTTGTCACCCTTTTGTGGCATTTTGGCGTTGGCTGAATTCCCCACAGCCACCGAGGGACGTACTTTCTGATGTCGGCACGCGAAATCCCGTGGACGGAACGAGCTAAACCAATCAGACTACGTCTCACACACACAAAAAAACGCATTTATAATTATGCAAATGATAACGTGCCCAATATTTCAGACGTAAATGATGCTTGACTTGAGGCACGGAGCCAGGCTCAAGTCTTATTTGAAAGCCGGGCGAAAGAGGTGGGGGCCTTTAAATGTCTCTGAAAAGTTGGTGCCGATTGAACGAAGCTACTAGTCGTGCTGCGCAGATCTGGGTTGTCGTTTGTAGTGTGCAGGAGTAACTTGTGCTGCCCTCCCAGCGAGCTGGAGAATAGTAGTGTAAAGGAGAGCCGACACAAGATTGCAGGGGTCTCGTCCTTTAATCCTTTTCTCCCATCCACACCTGTCCCCCAGCCGTCCCAATCACGTTCCCGCCAAAGGTCCCCTCTTCCCGCCTGTTCTCCCCTTATATCCCCTCGATCACCCCTCCCACTAACCCTCCTATTGGTGGGAATCCTTCCCCTGACACCCCTACAGTAGCGCAAAGGCAGCTAAGCGCCACTTAAAAACAATAATGACGATTTTAATTTTCGATGTAAAGCTTTCGTGACTGCAGGGATTCATCTTCTTGGTTCTTTCGGTAAAGTCACGTAGAAGGGAAATAATAAAATGTATTTTATTATGTTTTATTTTTATTCTTTTATTATTTCCCTTCTACGTGACTTTACCGAAAGAACCAAGAAGAATAATGACGATGTTGGAAATGACGACGATGGTGGTTCTATCAGCATCAACAGCAATTTGCAAAATAATCCTTCATTTCCATAACACTCCTCCAAAAAATGGACTGATGGCCAAATTACCGACATGAATAGAACACCTGGTCCCTTATCTAATTACTACAACTTTTATTTTTGACATTTACATACCATGAGGTCTTGAATTCTTTCCTAAGCGATGCCAACAGGGGCGTTGGCCCTCTCGTGAGTGAACTAAGAATGTGTTCGTCTCTTGCGAGCTCATCCTGTCGGTGTGGTTCCCAATTACAGACCATCTTTTCTTTTTAAATCCTTTATATTAAGTTCACTTGCTTGCTTGCGCGCTTACGACCGTGCAAATCTTTCGGTCGTTTTTAACCCACTTCCCGTGATCCAATCGAGCTGACATTTTGCACACAGACTCGTTGTGCGTGACAATTTATTTTCGTGAAAAATTTTTTTCAAAAATTTTCCACTTTTTAGGAAAAAAAACATTCATATTTAATTTAAAATACCAATGTGATAAAAATGAAACTCTTACTCAAGAAAAACAGAAATGAATAATAAAATAAAACCGATGCCACGCATATAAAGGATTTATAGTGAAAAACTTTGTTTTTACGGGTTAATTTTTTTAGACATTGCATCCCAATGTTTCGCGTGCGTTTGTGGGTGTGCATTCAAAAAGCAGGTGTCAAACACGCTTTGGCAAATAACTCTTCAAACATTATATCACAACGCTTATTCACCCTTATCTAGTTAATTGTATACACGCTGGTAATTGCGTTCGGCTTGCAATCACTGGCAGACCCTGGCTAAATCAAACAGTAGGCAAGTTTGACATTAAGACACAGGCAATTACATACTGAGTAATGAGCCAATTACCATCACGGCATGCTTGGCATACACAGTTAAAAAATATTCTGCAGCTGTATTGTTAGTTTCGTCAGCTAGTAGTCAGTGTTCACTCCACTACATTGAGTTGAGTTCGATTCCTGTAGCCGAATCATTAAGTCATTTCTGCAAATAATTGGCCATAACAGCACTGCAAACACGTCGGACCAACCTAGATATCCATTTTGTTGCATCACGTCCGTCAAATCTCCAGCACGCACTCCAAGCCCTCCTAGATGATCACGTTATAACACACATAACTGGCACACACAGCCATAACTCTCCACCACCAACCACCCACAATACCCACTTACGCTCGCGCTCACCACACATCTGGTCATGCTCACATCCACACACAACATTCTCAAGCATCGAGAACCTCTAACTCTGCACCATCGACCTCCTCCTTCACCACTTGCCCACCTCACATTGTGTTCTTACTGCCGTCCGCCGATGCTCGGGGCGCCCGCTAACACGCCATCCCTCAAAGCTTACTTTGCCAAAAACTCTGAAGCCCTCCCGAGTTCCAGTCAGAACCAACGTAAGCTACAGCTTGTTGAAGGTAAAGTTGTAGCCCTGCAAAGACTTGCCCACACCACTGCTGGCAGACAGTACTTCTCTAGAGGGTACTTAGACGTTGTAGCCCTGCAAAGACTTACTTAAAGTTGTAGCCCTGTAAAGACTTGCCCACACCACTGCTGGCAGACAGTACTTCTCTAGAGGGTACTTAGACGTACTGTTTCACGTCTTGCAAAGTCTTTCGAAGAGGCAAGGGAGAGTACCCGCACTGGACCGACCACACCGCACGCGACCCTGCCCGTCGACTAACTGCCACTACAGCTTGGCCGCGGGTGACTCCGGCAGCTCCACCACGACCTTGCCGAGGCTCCGGCGCGAGTACAGGTGCTCGACGGCACGGTGCACGTCGTCCAGCCCGCGGAACGGCCCGCCGTCCGTGGCGGCGCCTCCGTCGACCGCCGCCAGCAGCTCGCCGCGTCGCACCATCCCCGCCAGCCGCTCCACGCCGGCCCCGTGCTCCGCCACGAAGTGCGGCAGGAAGAACCCGCGCACGCTCGCCGACTTCACCAGCAGGTGCGCCTGGACGCTCGGCAGGACCCTGGCGGATTTGGTTTTTTTGTCACCGCCGGCGCTGCCCGCTTCTGCCCGGTAGCCCTCGATGTAGCCGATGATTATGAGGCGGCCGCACACCGCCAGGCTGTTGACGGCCGTCTCGAACGTGTCGCCGCCCACCGATTCGTACACCACGTTCACGCCCTTGGGGCACTCCTGGGGATGGGAGAAACGGTAACACACGTCGCACTGAAGGTAACGAGCGACAGTAGGGTGCCACGGTGGCTAGGAGATGTTAACGACCTCGCCTGGTATGCAGGCGGTCATGGATTGGATCCCGACCCTGACGCCTGCTGCTGTATATTTGGAGTTTGCATGTCTCTCTCCCCGTGGTTGCGTGGATTTTTCTCCAGATCCTCCGTTTTTTCCTGAAACATTTAGAATCAACGTGCGTATAAGAGTATTTGGCTCCGATAAATTCCCACATGATAAGCCACTTCATTTGGCAATAATTTGTGGCCAGGTCGCTTCTGAAAAAGAGCTGTATAGCTCAGCGGGCCTTACCTGGTAAAATAAACACGTTCCTTCGGAGTGGGCAGGTAGGAACTTGGTTGGACAGCGCATTCGTGCACGACAGAAAGCTCGCGGTCACGTGACGCACTTCAACCAATCCGGGAGCGTACATGTTTGGGAGGGGCTATGCACGACAGACAAATACTCCCTGATGGGCAGTGTGGTACTGTTGTTCCTCCCAGTAAAAATTGTTTAGACAGCACCCCAAACGTCACTTATTTCGCCAATGGTGCTGGTGCACCGACGTGTGTGATTTGGCACGAGGGTTTTCGTGATTTGGCAACACTGTGATATAGAGCACGATGTAAGGTACATGATAATTCACTGGTCAACAAAAAAAACATTTTTTTCTGGCCTGGACTTTTGCAGCTGTTTTAGACTAATTTCAGGGTGCTGATTCCAAATCTGATCTCAGATTTGCTCTATCACATCTCATTTTATGCTATCGGCATACCCCATTTTCATTGATTTTACCCAAAATTAACTCTGTCACTTATGATTGCAAGTTTTTGCGAGTCAGTGACTGCTTTAGTGTTAAAATATGGTGCTGTATTTTTAGGATAGTGTGTTTATAATATCATTTTATGTAGATATCCACATTTATTTAATATTTTTCTTCTGCAGTTCTTATTGAAAATGCAATATTTGATATCTCAAAAACCTGATGTGATGGACAAAAACTGATGCCAGATTTGGAATCAGCACCCTAAAATTACCGTTGGAATACCTTATGCCAGAAAAAGTGTGTTGAACAGTGCAATCGGATTGTTCGTTTTGCAAAATATCATATCTCGGCTTGTATTGTACATTACGAAATAGTTATTAACCATTAAATGAGTACTTTCCAAAAAAGGCGTTTGTAGTAATTTATGGTGTGGTAGTTGTAAGACGAGATTATATTTGAGATGCGCGTAATTATATAATTATTCGTGTAATAGAAAGCGTGTGCGTCGTGCACGTTACAGGCTGTAAAGTTTACATTATTGAAAGATTTATGCCACGTTGAGTATTCTGCTGTTAGAGAGCTTTCAAGTAACCATTATTCATACTGGAAGTATGGCAATGGGAAGAAAAAAAACAATTACGTAAAAATGTCAAATAAAATTAAAACAGTGCAGGGGAAAGCGATGCAGCAATGATTGTCTGCTAAATAATTGTTTCGTATCCTGAAAAAAACATATCATAGCGAAATGGAAACCACCTCAATCCGGGCCCCTCCAGGAAAATGATAGTGAGACTATCCTGGGTAAAAAATTAACCCGTAAAAACAAAGTTTTTCACTATAAATCCTTTATATGCGTGGCATCGGTTTTATTTTATTATTCTTTTTCTGTTATTCTTGAGTAAGAGTTTCATTTTAATCACATTGGTATTTTTAATTAAATATGAAATTTTTTTTTCCTAAAAAGTGGAAAATTTTGGAATTTTTTTTTCACGAAAATAAATTGTCACACACAACGAGTCTGTGTGCAAAATGTCAGCTCGATTGGATCACGGGAAGTGGGTTAAAAAACGACCGAAAGATTTGAACGGTCGTAAGCGCGCAAGCAAGCAAGCAAGTGAACTTAATATAAAGGATTTAAAAAAGAAAGGAAGCATGACATATTTACACGTGCAGCCCTTTGTCAATTCACTGCTAGATGATGATGGGGCTAGTTTGACCATACTTCACCACGCTGGTCAGTGCAAGTTGTGAAGGCAGCAAGCATAGACATGGTGGTACAGTACAGGGTGGTCCATGTCTTGTGACCACCCTCCAATTGTTTTACTCCACATTTTTTTTTATTTACATATTCATTTACATATTTATTTACAACTTTATTTACATATTGGTTTACGATAATATGGGGTTTCCACTTCTTTTCTGGCAACAAAACAAATTAAAGATGTTATAAAACCACACTGAAACCTATTTACAAGGAATTATGCCTGCATTAACCACGATGCTTGTGGTCAAAATGAAAACAAACAACATACTCTGATAATATATGCATTGTCTTTGAAACTGATTGGTTCACACCAGAGACAGCTTTCTTTTGAGCCTCGTCTCAAACGGTGTTAGACCAGAGGACGCCTTTTGGCTGTCTCTGGTGTGGACCAATCAGTTTCAAGGACAATGCATATATTATCAGAGTATGTTTTTTGTTTGCATTCTGACCACAAGCATTGTGGTTAATGCAGACATGATGCCTTGTAAAATGTTTCAGTTTGGTGTTTTAACATCTTAACACCTGTTTTGTTGCCAGAAAATAAAGGGGAAAACATATGATCATATTTTGGTACTGGCAAAGGATGTAGATATTCATTTATGTTTTAAATTAATCTTACTTAAGTAAAGTATATAAATGTTACAGAATTAAATTTGGGTCACAAGACATCTGGACTATCCTGAACAGTAAAATTTTAGATTACGCTGCACTGTCCTCTGTTGATGTGTTTTTTGTGAGCACTGCCCGCACATTCGGGTGGGATGCACGGCTGGGGTCCAGGGTGGGTGGAGGGGTGAGAGACGAACCCTTCTCAGCGTTGTGGGTGACGTCACCACACAGCTGGGCATTGATGATGTCACCCCCACTTCCCTGCAGCCAACCAACTTTGTTTTGAGTACTGTATACCAATCGTGGAAAAAACCTAAGAGTATATACCAATCGTGGTCGAGTGGTGGCACTGTGGTTAGTGTATTGCACTATGAGCCTTTTGACCTTGGTTCAATTTCCGGCCATGGCTAACATCAGCAGGAAGTGACATCAGAAACCTTCAAATCTAGAATCAGAAACCTGTCCTGGCTACCTCCAAACTCGCCAACCCCTACTGACCAAAACTCGCCGATCTGCAGTGACCATGGTGGTGAAGTATGGTCAAAACTTATGGTCAAAACTTTTCTTGGGGAAACCATCACCCATTGGTGTCTTGAGAATGGGTGATATGTATTTTAATTATCAGAATTATGAGCAGAAATGCAATATAAATGTTCTCTTTGTTTGACCCAGAATCATCCTTTACAAATGAGATATTGATAACATCTCAGCTGACATTAATTAAACATTTTAAAATCGACATAATTTACAAAGGAAAGCAGTTCACCAAAAACATGAATGCCACGCACCTACAGTGCATACATTGTTTTCCGATTCAGTGTTAGTAGTCAAGACATACATGAAATGCATACGGCGTCACCGTCTTTTAAACTGGGATAATTATCCATTTAAGATCTCACCTGCAAGGGCTTTGAAGAGCACACAGAATTCATTAAGTGAAGAGCTGTAATTGTACGTTCATTTTTAATGACGTGGGAATAGGCATACGCAATCGCTCAGATTCCTGGTGTTGTCACTAATGTACACCTTCTGCAGCTTAATGTCCGTGTGTGTGTGAAGCGGCGGTGTCGTAATCAGTGCGCTGCGCTACAAACCTGGCGACCCAAGTTCGATTGCTGCTCGTGGCCAACACCGGTGACGATTATTTAAACCGGTCCTGGGCCTCCCCTATGCAGACTCAGCCTCAAATGTGTACCTCGCGCGAAGTGCCTAGCGCGACGTTTAAAACATCGCCATGTGGGAGACAAAGGCGGCCGAGCGTCCGTCGTTTTCGATGGTCAGCCGCAAGACCAGAACGTCGAAAAATCTCCACGCAGCCCAAGATGCGTGGGGACCCGCATCCCACGCCCCGTCGAAAACCCCTCGCACCTCCTTGAGCACTTTGGCGAGGCTCTCCTTGCGCACGTTGATGGGCCGGTGGCACCCGAGCGTGGCGAGGAAGGCGGCCTTCTCGTCGGACGAGCACGTGCCGAGCACGCGGCACCCGGCGCGCGCCGCCAGCTGCACGGCGAACTGGCCCGTGCCGCCGGCCGCGGCCGTCACCAGCACCGACTCGCCGGCCCGCAGCTCCGCGGAACGCTCCAGGCTGAGCAGCGCGGTGAGGGCGCTCACCGGCAGCGTCAGGTACTCGGCCTTCAGCTGGTGACAGGAGCCATTCAGAGAGTTGGGGGGGGAGGGGTTATGGGGACATGGTCTGGGTCGTGTTGAGATTGCTTGGCGGCGCCTTCAAGGTGAAACGCGACGAAAGTTGTGTTGATGTAGTGTCTGCATTTGTGGGCATTGGGGGAGTGGTGCAGCAAGTATTAAAAATTATTATTTGGCCACTTTGTTCCACGATAATTAACCTGTGATATGCAATCCCCTTGAGTTCCACATGACATTTCTAGGCGGTGAGACAAATGACAAAGGGATATATTATAATTTCATTAATTATTTGTAATGGTGATCGTGGCTTTTCTGCGTAACGGTTTGCCAAGCAGGTACAGCCACAGGATTATGTAATATGCGCAACTGATACGGGCCAGCTACTGTGCCAAGTCAAAAACATTCACCTCCAGTACCCGATTAGTGCGCCGTCGATACTGGCAGTGAAGGATACAAATCGCTTGCAGGCCATTTTGAAGCGGTAGGCCTCATGTGCCCATGTGCTAAATTATAGTCGCGGGCTGGATGTGGCCCATGAGCCATAAGTTCCCCACCACTGAATTCTAATAACATAGTCGAGCACAACGCCGCATATCCAACATTCGGTGGACTAAGTTACAGGCGGATATTCGAAACGGCTGCGCGCGTAAATATCTGTAGAAATGACAGCTGCACCACGCACAAGCACCGTACTGGGTGTTGGCAGTCAATCGGCCACTGCAGATAAGCGACGGTCGGATGTCGCGACGTCGCACTGCGCACGCGATCGACGCACCTCCGGCAGCGGGAAGATGCTTGCGGCCGGGACGACCTTGTACTCGGCGAAGGCCCCCTCGGCGGCGTAGGCGACGGGCTGCCCCAGCGAGAAGCGCGCGCTCGCCGCCAGCCCTCGCGCCACCACCGTGCCCACCGCCTCCAGCCCCGCGTCGAACGGCGGGCGCACGCGCGGGTTGTAGCGCCCCGCCGAGAAGTTGATGTCCGACGCGTTGATGCCCACAAACCTGCGCGAAGGAGCGGTAACCGCAATGCCGCTACCAACCCGGCAACCAGGTTCTCGCACCCGTCTTTCCGTCAACCCGCACTGGCTGGCCGGCACGGCGAGGTATAGTGAAAAAACTCCCATGACTCAAATAGAATCGAGACACCTTCATCCGGCAGTGTATTGAAAAAAGGCTGTACGTTATTATTTTTATATTACATCGTACTGTATGAATGGTGGGTAGCAGGAGACTTTATGTGTTTCGTTTGTTGTCCTTTCCCCGCACCTCCGATTAGCACGGTTGGATACGTACGGTGTGAAAGAAGTTCAGCATACATACATATAACGAAGTGGAGCAAAAGCCATTGTTGAACTGTCTTATTGTGCTCCCACCTCTATGCTCGCCGCCTTCACAAGCCAGCACCAGAGGTTTCAGGTTTAAAATGTGAGAATCCCAGCTGCTGCACTGTATTTGGAAACTGGATATGCATAATTGTTAGGGGTGCACATCTGTAATCCAGTGCCTTAGAGGTGCAGATTACACAGACTTCATCAACTACACCTGGGTCTCTGGGCAATAATTTAGGATTATGAACATGAGCCAATACCAGAAATAATTGGTACTGTATATAGGATGGGGTTGGAGCGGTGGTGCAGTGGTTACAGCATTGCTCTACAAACCCAACGCTATGAGTTTGATTCCTGGCCATGGTTAAAGTTAGTAGCGAGTGATATCTGAGCAGGTTACTGGGTCTCTCCTGACCTTTACCAACCCGCACAGACCAGTTTGGTGAAGTAAGGATGTTGACCTCCCATGCCACGTCAGTCACGGCTGTTATATGACCATACTTCACCACGCTGTCAGCGCTGCTTTGTGGAGGCGGCAAGCATAGAGGTGAGAGCCCAATAGGGCACTGCCTCGTATGTACGTATGTTTAATTTCTTTCGCACCGTACATAGCCAACCGTGCTAATCGGAGATGCGGGGAAGGACAACTTCAACTGCTTCTTGCAGTTAGTGTTGTCCTTTCCCCGCACTTCCGAGTAGCACGGTTGGCTACGTACGGTGGTACGAAAGAAGTTCAACGTGCACACGTACGTACGTACGTACAAAACGAGTCGCTGGCGGTGACATTGGGCCACCATTACCTGTTGCGCACCAGCACCTGGTCGCTGTCCGGGCTCGGCACGGGCGCCTCCTGCAGCTGAACGGCTTCGCGGAAGTCGGTGCTGAGCGCCGTCACCACGAGCTTAGAGTGCGAGCGCGGAAGCGGCCGTCCGCCCTCCACGAAGTGCTGCGTGTACGACATGTCGATGATGCCGCGAGATGGAAGGCGCAGGAGGCGTCGCGGCGGCAGCAGCAGTGTCACCAGCCGGGGAGCGCCAGGTCCAAGCATCGCGCGCGGTCCGCTCTGGGGACCGAGGGCTCAAAGTCCCACGCCACGCTCTTCTCGTGTTTGCCTTTTGGCAAGTTGGGAAATCCTTCAGTGCTCCGGGGCTTGAACCTGTGGACTGTGGTACGCACAGAATCGCAATGGGTAACCAGTGTTCGCTCTGCTCATTTCATCAGTGCTGGAAATATTTGTCGTCAAGTGTTTTTATGTTTATTTCAGTCGGCGATTGACTGTGCGCGGACGAAAACCATCAAGCGTGGCAATGCCTACCACTAACACTGAACACAACAGCGTTCCTGACTTTGAGGAGTCAGAATGTACGAATGAGGATGTGGACTACTAATACAAATATAATATAATACAAATCAGTAACGTAATCAAGTAACATCATATGAGGCTGCAGTGGACTGCATGGCAATTGATACGGTATGTAGTGTATTAAATGATTTACGGAATGCATTAATTGGCTGACCTGATAATATTTACATGATAAAAGAGTGGACTAATATTTGACTGCGTTAGTCGACTAGACTAGGAGTAACACTAAAACGGCATCCTCTTGACTTTAAAGACTTTACACTAAAATTCCACCCTATAGGCGAGGGTTGGTGGAACACGCGCGTGATTAACCATCCAAACCCGCTGGGCTCACGAGGTGGCCGGAGGATGTCAGCAGAGAAAACGGTAAATTGTTGAACCTTTGTGTCATCCACTTAAAGCAGTGGTCCTTCACCTGGGGTGCACGCACCCCCTGGGAGTGCGAGATGCCCTTTCTGGGGGTAGCTGAGACATGGCCAGATTTTTTTAGAAGGTGAATCATCGAAAACACAAATTAAGCACGGGCACGTAAGGTACAACTTACTTTGTTTCATCAAACCTTATCATGAGGTTTCCCTCTATAAAGGTTATTGGTAGTAGTCGTACTATACTCTGTGGAGAGCGGTGGGGTAGCGGTTAGCACACTGCGCTATGAACCCGGCGACCCGAGTTCGATTCCCGCTCACGGCGAACACCAGTGACGATTAGCTGAACCTGTACTGGGCTTCCCCTAGGTCGATTCAGCCTCAAATGAGTACCTGATGCGGTGTGTAAACATCGCCACTGGGGAGACAAAGGCGGCCGGGCGTGGTGCTGGCCACCCACCCCCTCGTGTGCCGTGCCGGCCTTCATAGGGGCTCGTTAACAGCACTTGCCCTACAGTCTGTGCAGGCTATACGGGGGATATTTGCCTTTGTGTTCTACTTCCCATGTGCTTTGTATTACTCATTTGAACATTTCGACACCATCACGAATACTGTCTTCATTATAATGAGCCATGGTCAATCCGCTGCTGGATGTAAACTAATCCATGAAAATAATCCACCCGGCAGCGTATGTTCTCTGACAAGCGTGAGGATTATACAGCCCTTGTTATCACAGCAACACAGTGCTGGTTTAAATCATAACAATCTACTACCCTTTGTTGTCAATCCACTGCTGGATGATGACAGGCCTTCCCCACGCTGTGTCGGTCATGCCAGGGGAGGGGTGGGGGTGTGAGTTTGACCATACTTCACCACGCTGGTCTGTGCGGGTTGAAGCCGAGGATATATTCAGGGTGCTTCGAAAAAATGTTTTCATACTTAATATGGGACTATCGTTTTTAATGGAAAAAGAACGGATAATACGCTGTAACAGGATAACAAATGTAATGTTAAAGCTTCCAAAAGTACGAGTCTCTACTTGTTCGCCACCATTGTCAACGCATTGCCTGGAATCTTCTCCAGGTGGGAGTGTTGCAAATTATAGGGAGTGTTAACATTTTTTTGAAGCGCCCTGTATATACACACGATATGCTCTACAGTCTACATACTGAAAGGTCACAACCATTGATTCTCCTCCAACTTAGCCGATGACGCCTGCCCAATGCACGGTGGTCAACTACCCAGACTGCGCTTCCACAGGCCACCGATGATGACCCGATGACCTTACCCGATGACCTCACCCGATGACCTTACCCAATGACCTCACCCGATGACCTCACCCGATGACCTCACCCAATGACCTCGCCCGATGACCTCACCCGATGACCTTACCTGATGACCCTACCCAATGGCCTTAGCCAATGACCTCACCCGATGACCTCACCTGATGACCTCACCCGATGACCTCACCCAATGACCTCACCCAATGACCTCACCCAATGACCTCACCCGATGACCTTACCCAATGACCTCACCCGATGACCTCACCCAATGACCTTACCCAATGACCTCACCCGATGACCTTACCCGATGACCTCACCCGATGACCTCTCAATTTACAAACAGCGGGGGGGGGGGGGTAGTACATTGCTTGTGGGCCGACGCCTCTCACGATGAATGTCAACCTCCTCTGTATCTGCACGAGGCGCGGCCCTCTGGCATCGAGAGGCACGGGAAAGGCCTCGGCCAAGTAACGTGGAGTCGCAGAGGCAGACGACAAAGACAACAACAACAGGTGCCCCCCGTGGCAGCCACGGTCCTGCTGGGGCCGTGTGATGTTCAAGAGCGGCGCCTTGTGAAGGCCGGCACGGCACACGAGGGGGTTAGGGGGGTGGCCAGCCACCACGCCCGGCCGCCTTTGTCTCCCCAGTGGCGATGTTGACTCGGCATCGCACCAGGTACTCAGTTGAGGCTGAGTCGACCACACACACCGCACACACACGCACTACACACCGCACATTACACACACCGCACACACGCACCACACACACACTGCTCACACACACTACACGCACTACACAGCACACACTACCCACCACACACTACACACGCACACTACAGTACACACACACCAAACACACTACACTACACACACGCAGTAAACACACACCACACACTGCACACACTACACACACACTACACACACACTACACACACTACACACACACTACACACACACTACACACACACTACACAGCACACTACACACGCACACTACAGTACACACACACCAAACACACCAAACACACTACACTACACACACACGCAGTAAACACACACACACACCACACACTGCACACACTACACACACTACACACACACTGCACACACTACACCACACACGCACACTACAGTACACACACCACACACACTACACACACGCAGTAAACACACACTGCACACGCCACACACTGCACACACTACACACACCACACATACACTACACACACACTAACCACACCCCGCACACACACCACGCACTACACACCACACACTACACACACACTACACACGCACACTGCAGTATACACACCACACACACTACACACCACACACTACACACACACCACACACACTACACACACTCTACACACACACTACACACACACTACACAGCACACACACATCACACACACTACACTACACACACACTACAGTACACACACTACACACACACACTACACAGCACACACGCACCACACACACACTACACAGCACACACACACTGCACACACTACACACACACTACACACACAGCACACACACACTACACACACCACACACACTACACACGCAGGCCTCGTGCTGTAGACACAGTCGGTGGTAGTTCACTGTACCGCGTAGGCTGCGACGTAGATTCCCGCAAAGCCCTGGGCCGCGTGTCCCTGCCGCCCTCCCACACAGCTCACACGTGTCACATTCCTCCCCGCAGGTGGCAGTGTCGGGCTTGATTGCGATCGTGGGGAGCTGTGATGCCCCCCCCCCCCACTCCTGGGGCATGCTGCATGCAGAATGCAAGGGGAGCACCCCCACAAAGTCCCCCTGGTGGCCAAAGCTACGAGTTTGACTTGCATCCCACTGGGATTTTTGCACACATCGTTGGTGTACGGTGATTTTTAAATCCTTTATATTAAGTTCACTTGCTTGCTTGCTTGCGCGCTTACGACCGTGCAAAATTTCGGTCGTTTTTTAACCCACTTCCCGTGATCCAATCGAGCTGACATTTTGCACACAGACTCGTTGTGCGTGACAATTTATTTTCGTGAACATTTTTTTTCCCAAAATGTTACACTTTTTAGGAAAAAATAAATTAGATTTAATTACCAATTGCTTAATGGTGGCAGGCAATCATATGACCCATAGGTGGCAGCCATCTCAAGCCAGAGGACGAGAGGACTCTAGCCGCCACGCATATAAAGGATTTATAGTGAAAAACTTTGTTTTTACGGGTTAATTTTTTTTTCTGCAATGTTTTGCTGTCTTTTCTTGGATTTCTGTTTGCACTTAGTCACATATTCACTTTAAGATGTTTTTTGTTCATGTTTTTTGTTTGTTGCGGTTGCACCCGATTCAAGAGCCGAATTGCTCACAGGGCTATACCTAATAAATGAACTTGAACTTGAAGTTGGAGGGCCTCCACCCCCCCCCCCACCCCTTGACAGTGTAAAAGAACATCAGCTCATTTAAAACCCGGTTTACATTAGAAACATGTTTTAATGAAAATGCTTTCAATTTAGTCGAGGCTGCGTTGTTTGCGAAGACGGAGGCCCACAAAGTTGGGGGGGGGGGGGCACGAAGTTGGGGGGGGGGGCAACTGGGGCCCCACCCTGACCGATTGCCGCACCACCACCACCCAAACCCACCCAGCTCTCTGATGTGACAATGTAAAGTTCCTATGCCACTGGGATATGCGCAGCGGTGCGCTGCTATACTGGCCACCCCGAGTTCGATTCCCGCTCACCGGTGACGATCATTTCCGCACCGTTGTGCTGGGCCTCCCCTAGGTAGACTCGGCCTCAAATGGTTTACCTGGTGCGGTGTGGAGTAAACATCGGGCCACCTGGGAGACGATTGCGGCTAGGGCGTTAGACATTGATGATCAATCAAATATTGATCTGTAAGCATTTTGAAATGTCAGCAAAAAAATTGCGTCGGTTAACAAAAAATGTGAGAAGCATTACGTCGGTCCGATTTACGACCCACGTTTGCGACGCTTATAGAACGTTGCCGTGGTTCGATTTAAGACGCAGAAGCTTAATTTGCGACGCTACTTCCCACTTTACTCCTCTAACACATTTGAACAGTGATGTTTCTAATGTGAAACGGAATCGAAAGTCAGTGAGTATTTTTTTCCTTCTTCTTCTTCAAAAGGTCAAGTCACCTTAGCATCAGAATGTAATTAAAAATTTTCATTTTGAAAATTGCTTTGTGTAGATTTTCGTAAAAAATTGTATATTCAGTCCTGTACTGTGCACTTAATACTCTTGCCCTCTGAGTTTACAGCAGTGAGGGACTGTTTTCTAACATATAGCATGAATAGTGGTGAATGTTTCATATATATTTTTACTATATCCCATATTTCTAACCTTTTTTGTATGAAAATTTTGGTTTCTAGCCCGTGTTCGGCAACGTAGCCAGCACGCTTTTGGAGTCACCGACAACACGAGCCAAGGACAAACATCGCAGCCACAATGGGCATCTTCCTCCCTTCTGGCGTGTTTAGTCAACGCACATTATTACACGTGACGGACCACGCGTGTTGTACCCAAGGGTGGCACAGTCGGGTTTTTTTACAATCGGGTTTAATTGTCTTTTTTATATTAAATCCGATCATCTGAGATTGGGAGAAATCCGGTTTAATTGGTTCTAATTGCAGAACCGCAATTCGCCAACTTCTCAACGATGGGCTTCATCCATTCCAAGCTAAGGAACTCACTGGTGCCCACGTTTGTGGAGAAGCTCGTGTTCATTAAGACCAACCTGCCCGCCGCATTCTACGACTACCCTGTGCCCGACGGCCCCGAGTACGATAGTAGCACCGACGAAGAAGCAGCCTAAGCCTTGGATCAGAGTTTCGTATTCATTAAACCAGGTTTTAATTACCCGAAATCGGGTTTAATTGTTTTAAAGAAAAAACCCGATGCCTGCCGTTGGAAAAATCGGGTTTTTTCCACCCACGGTTGTACCCAGCAAAGCCATCAAGATTCTGGCTCAGGACAAGGATGGCTAATGCTTGGATGAATGTGGTCTATCAAAAGATTTTGTAAAATTATTACATTTTTTAAGTAACTAAAATAATCATCCTGAACGTTATTGTCGATTCATTTCTTGCTTAGAGTAGTTTAGATTTTACTATCGCATATAAATCCCTTAGGTGAGGCTTCATAGGCTCTAATTGAGGCCCAAATGCTCCCAAGTCCTCTGCAGGACCGAGGAGATGTGGGCCCCAAATTTTCTAGTAAAACTAAGGATACATTTTATTGTATTTTCTGAAGGAAAATTCATTATTGTTCGATTTTAGATTATATTTATTTCAGCAAGAAGGGCCAAAATGAGCTCGATTTCATAGGTGTTCTGCGACGGTACAGATGTTCTGCAGTGCAGATATTAGTGACACAAGCAATGAACAGCAGGACAAAGTTGAAGATTGTAAAAAAAAAACTGCAAAAGGACATTTTTCTGACTTTCACAATTGACTGACGATTGGTCCTTAACACTCCTCAACTCTCTGGTAACTTTATAATTATTTTACTGCCTTTGCACCTTCATGGCATTTCAGTTATGACAAGCCTTAGCTTATAACATTTTTAGCATAGGTCTATCTATGATCGAGTCTCTGTAATTGCAATTCATCCACAATACGTACAAATATAACCCTTTCCTCTGGCACGAACGTGAAAAATCCAACAGAGGGCAACTCCACCCAAGTCTGGCTTCCTAAATTCTTGGTGCAGTGAATCGTAATTCATTTGTGCCCAAAATAAAGGGGACCGTTGTTGCTACCTGGTTATTAATGCCATAGATAATTTTAGTTGCAAGACAAACACACGCAGGTCGCGGGCAAGGTTTCAAGGGTTTCTGTCGGTCTGCTTAGCTTTCTCCCACACCAAAAGTGAAACATTCATCTGACTTATTTGGTTGCGACGTTGCAACAAGAGTGGGACTGATGCAATCGTTCGTGTTAAGCATTCGCCAAGTGTCTCGTTATCGCAGGTGAATTGAGAAAGCTGACGTGGAAAGATGGATTCGTGTGTGGACTGCGAGGTCTCGCAATACAATACAATTTGTATTTACACAATATTTAAATGCAACCGCATCTCAATAGGCCTGCGTGCAAACATGAGCAGCATGGGTAAATTTATTATAATGTAGGAGAACAGGAAAGCTCTGAGCTTGGAGTTGATTCAGCAATATGGATGGCCGTAGGATGGAGTCCCAGAGTGAGAAATCAGAATCCTGATTTAGACGGCGGGAGAAATACGATGAGCTATGAAGATCTTTTTCACAGCTGTCCAGCAGGAACGGGCAGAAAGTCACAACAACAATACAACAGCCGATAGTTGAGTGCAAAGTAAGCTAGTCACTAAAAGAAATAAAGTACAGGGACTGCTGTACTTACGAATGAATTCGGTTCCAGAGGTTTGTTCGTAAGTGGATTTGTTCGTAAGTCCAACTTTACTCCTGTCGATTCCAAACATGTTGTACGGCATGTACACTAAACACGGGGGAATGGCTTTAAAAGTTGCATCATCTTTTGTAGATGTAGATGCCACTGGTTCTTCACGATTTTCAGATGCAGATGCCACCACCGTCATCTATTGCGGGGTGGTAAAACTTACGACTCTCGATCAAAACGGGCAACTGGACATACGGACCAGGGTTGTTCGTATCTCTGTAAGTTCGTAAGTCAAATGTTCGTAAGTAGAGGCTTCCCTTTCGACTTAAAGCTTTCGTGACTTCTTGGTTCTTTCGGTAAAGTCACGTAGAATAAAATAAAATTATTTTATTTTATTATGTTTTATTTTTATTATTTTATTATTCCCTTCTACGTGACTTTACTGAAAGAACCAAGAAGATAGAGGCTTCCCTGTATATAAGTACAAATTGCAAAACACGGTGGCAACAGCAGAGCAGGAGCGACCTCCAGCATCGTGAACATTGAAAGAGGGGCTTCAACAGAACGTCCATGGTATTGCTGAAGCATAGAGCACCTGAATGGGGGATGTGGAGTGGCAGTGGAGACGCTAGGGCCTTGCGAGGATGATGCCCCATCTAGCAGGGCTGGGAAGCCAACGGCGTGGCCGTCTGAGAAGCTTGTCTGGGACTTCAAAGTTGTGGGCAAAAGCCTCCAATCGAGTTGGTTGGTTTTCAATGCAGTGATATTCCAACAGCGACGAACCTTATAGTTCGATGTTGGTTCATATATATTGGATTATCGACACGAGAGACGGATAGAGCTAATCCAAAAACATTTTCAGCATTATTTGGGAAGCATTAAAATAAAAAAAATTCTAACTAGAACATAAATACAATAATAACTCGATATACAGAGTAAGATGCGTTCCTGGAGCCTCGGATGTTGAAGCTTCGTATCGTGAATAACTTATAACATTAGTACTATGAGGATGCCTTCCCAGCCTTCCTAACTTACCATTTCATACCATAAACACTTCATTGCTTACCATTCATTTTGTAAACAAAGCCATTTAAAAATATAAATGAATAGTATACGTTATACTGTACAGTATTAAAATGAAAACAAACTGACCCAAGTATTCGAAAGATAGTGAAGAAACATAATTTACTTTTAATTTCCATAGTCCTGTCGATCGATTAATGTTTTATTGTTTTGTCCATTTCAGTATATGTATTTATTATTTACCGTTATTTTCAGCTTTCTGTGTAAAAAAATCCAAAGT